TATCATGCTAAATGCTCAACATTCACTCCTGGATCTTCAGACTAACTGAGCATGAATCTGAAACATAAATTACCTTAAAATAATGCATTTTATCTCATAGAAAAGTCAGGATAACATCCTAATTAAACCCTCCATCGCATACAGGAAAAATCACAAGAAATCAAGTTCAGTTCTTACATTCTTACTCTAACACCCTAAGACGGCACAGCGCTGGCACTGGTGATGACAGTCACTGTGCAATACAGTGCTGGGCCATCACTGCCTACTGGGGCCACTATGACTGCTAATGAAGCAGCTGCTGGTTTATAAAAGCTGACTGGATATATGTAACAATCCCCAGTGGAGCAAAGTTTAAAGAGGGGTGATCCCCACTAGGGGGCGCCAGACCAGGCTGGTTTTCTGCTGGGTGGGTTAAGCAGCTGGATGCATCCATCTCCTCATCTCCTGATCTGTCAGCCAAGCGACTTCCGCGCTGTGGGTGGAGCTGAGGAAACATCTCCGTCTCCTCCGAGTGCGGCTGGATGGAAGAGGGCGGGGAAGATCTCACACGGTAGATGAGCCTTCAGATCTCCTCAGACAGCATGGGTGCTGAGGAAGACCTGACTTTTGAACTGGCCGCTCCGCAAATGGGTGGGAAAGGGGGAGTTTTAAAAGTAACGAAGCTGTTAAATATCTCTGCTTTCAGCAAGGCAGGTCCACTCCATCTCTACGGCTACTTAGATACCTGGGGTTATAAACATCGGCATGACCCATCATGACCACTAGATGGCAGAAGCGTTTCATGTATGTGTGTGTGTGTGTCTGTGCTCGCGTGCAGACCAGGCATTCCAGAAAAACCATCAGCCGCATTCACTGTCAGTATGGAGCTCCTCCTTAGTGACAGACATTTTATAAGCGTGATCTCTGGATGGTAAGAATGGGGTGTCAGCTGCCTGTTGTGCTGCAGTACTGGAAATGGAGACCCAGTCCACGGGACAGGAACAAACACAGGGGCCCACAGTGGCTTCTGATAATCTACAATTGACTATTGATTTATTTCTTTTGAACCGAGTGTGGAGATGAGAAGCGAGGTGTGGGGGGGGGTGGGGGGACACAGCCTGCGGAGTCAGCTCATTAACACCGGGGTCAACTCTGTAACCCCAGAGGAAATCTATAGGGCCGAAGCTCCCCTCATCAGCCGTTTCCATGGCGGGTCAATAACAGGGGTCAGACGGACAAATCAGACAGATGGCAGCGCCGAAGTGAGCGGGCCGCTGGAGAGAAGGTGCCGGAAGACCGCGGCACCAGTCAAATGAACCCGGGTTAAAACACTGCGCCGGGGGCCAGGAAGGAGACTCCCGCCAATCACAGACAACCCGCCAGTCATCAGTCTGTGTGAGGGCAGTGAAGGTGGGGGGGGGGCATCTCTTTTGTCTGAAAGGCAGCAGGTGTACGCCGCCATATCCGATGGAACCAGCCCTCCCATCCCCCCAACTGGTGACAGCTTGTCCCCATGGAAACCAGTTCAGTGAAGCATGCCCCCATCCCATGGACACACAGCTGTTCCTGCAAAACACAGTGATGCATGCAAAGGACCGACCCCCCCCCCCCCCCAACTCCATTACAAATATAAACATACACACACCCAGCTAGGCTGTACCTATGCTCGAGTACTATATATACACACATGCATATATTTTACATACTCACACCTTAAACGTAAGTGTATTAAAATGTTCCGGTTTAGTCTTAATTAATTTCACAGTACGCAATCTCAGTCGTACTCATTTAATGTCCTTATTTTGTTTTTTTATGGAGAATATATCAGTTTTGCACTAAAACGGTTTTATATTACAGTAAGATATTTCCTGATGAAATTACTGATTGTCCGTTAGCAGGAGCGAGTCATTTATTTATGGACTGAAATAACATTAAGCAAATTTATCACCCAGTTCTTGTTCCAGCGACTAAATGTGCGGATTAATCTTTAGAACCAAGCACGTCATGCCGGCGAGACTGAATAAATTATCCGCAAACAGATGAGTTAATAATACACGCAATTCTTGTGACATGCATACAGAACACGGGGTGTCGTTTCCCGGTTAAATAACCGCTGACATCCCGGAACATGCCAGACCAGGCAGCCCCAAATGCATGCGTGTGCAGCGGCGGGGACCTGTGACATCACCGGGACGCAGCGAAGGTGCAGGAGACATGCCAAGACGCTTCCTACACTGGCAAAACCCGCGCCAGCAGGGGCCCCTTCATTGTTGACCAGGTGCTCTGACAGCGGCGGTGGGGGACACACACACACACACAAAGGGCTAGTCTCAGCACGGGGGACAGCTCCGGAACCCAAACACCACGCCCTGCCGCCTGGCCGGTCACACGCCGGCCCCAAAGCGCCATTTCATAACTCCATCACACCATCTACCTGCAGAACCACAGGCAGCAATGCTCTGACAGGAAGTGAGAATCAGTCAGAGAGACAGGAAGTTCTTTGGAACAATCTGATTACTTCAGCTAGACTTTAGTCATACGGATAAAACTGACTTCTCATGGAGCACTAGGTATTCATAGAAGTTACCCATTCACAAAAAGCTCCACTGACTATACCTAAGGAAGAATGGCCTGATCCATCCATCTATCCATCCCCCCTCCCATTTCCGGGGTGAACCTAGAGTCTAACCCAGCAAGGCTGAGGCTGCTGATTTATCACAGGGCACATTCTCGCTCGAAGAAGTTTTACTTGCACAAAAATGTTCTCAGGGCAGAATGAAAAATAATTGGTACAGAGAGATAAGCAATAAAATTGTAGAGGAGGAGGGACCGAGACATCTGATTGGTTGGTCACACCTCTAGTTGCTTGGATCCACCTCCTCTACAATCTGATTGGTTATCTTTCTGAGGCAATCTTTTTTCTTTCTGCCCGCTTTTTGTGTAAGTAAAACTCCCTGGAGTCACATTCTCGTGCACTAAGGGAAACCTAGAGACACTAAATTAGAGTGGACATCTTTGGTTGGAGGGCACCCACATGAAGACACGAAGAACACAAGCGCAAACCCCAAACAGGCAGGCAAGGAATCAAACCCACAACCAAAAAGAATCGAGGCCACAGCACCACCCAGTCAGCGAATCTGGCGTTGACTTGTCACAAGCGTGTGAAAACACACAGCCTCTCTGCTCCATCGAGCACATCTGCTGGAGGCTCAGTCGACTACAGACGGGATTTTAAGTGGCGTCTTCAGGACAGAGATCAGCTTGGGGCCGTTTCTCATAGCTGCACTGTCACTCGTACGCTCATCCTGTGTCTCCAGCATGAGAGACCCATGGGAGAGGCCTTGGGGTCTGCAGGAACATGCCGTGCTACCGGCCCAAACACCAGCCGGCAAATCCAATAATACCCCAGTCAATTAAAGTAATTAAATCTGAGACTTCCCAGGACAGCTGAGGTAGGATGAACATATTGGTACAAAGAGACGCACATAAAATAAATTACTGACAGACTTCATGAGTACCTCCCCAGTAAGGTTTGATCCTTAAAACAGATATATAATGATTCCAAACAGCAGATAAGCATACAGTGACACAAGTAAGATGTCTGAAGTTCAGATAAATGTGACTAAACCAGACTTTATATACTCTGCCATCTACTGTAACCTCTTCATTAATACCTCACTTGTACATCGCTAAATAAAATTTAATGTAAAAATATGCATATGTGCCATTAGCTTAAACCACAGGCCAGTGGATTTACTATGTTATTTGCAAAAATAATGTACATAACATGCCCTGTGATGGACTGGCATTGCTCAGGGTGCCCCCCAGCCGTCTGCTACTAAAGTCCCTTCTCCTGGAGAAGTATTTGGAAAAAGATAGATGTTAACGTTCCACATAGATATTACAAGGGGCTGGCATTTTAATGTGTGCATCGGAACTTGCATGCATACAGTAAAATGTGAAGGAAACTTTCACATTTTTAATTTATGCCAAATGCCGTCAGACAGTAACAATATGCTACTTGCACATCTGGCTATTAAGCTGAGCAGCAGTCAGTCTGCGAACCCTTTAAGCACAACACGGAGTCCGTTAAGTTCCACAGTGGCAGGGGAAGTAACAGGAAGTGATGCTTTTACATACAGTAATGTGCGCTAAACTGTATTAAAATAGCTGCTCTGACGCAGAAAACAGACAAGCGCACGTAAAAAACGGGTTTAAATCGGGATATCTGCAACAAGTGACAATTTATATACTGATATGGTAGTAAGGCTGATACAGGGGCGTTAGCTTTCGTATACAAACAGCTGATTGCTTGTTATCATCGTCCTGAAACAAGAAGAAAAAATATCTGTACGGCTGATTGAAGGCAATTTCGTCTCATCGCGTGCGGTGATTTTGTCCGAGCTCACCCCCGGTTAATGGCAACCCGGTGCTGAGCTCCAGCAAAGTTTTAACGTGGCGGCGGCTCGGCATGGCAGCCGCGCGCGCCTCCCCCGGCCGCGCAGCACGCGAGGCGGGCCGACCGCCCCCCCGTCTTCCCTTTTCCCTTCCCCATCCCGGAAGCGACTAAAAGGCCCGTCCTGCGCCTTTTAACTGCGTGGAAATCCGTGTATCCAAAAAAAAAAAGCGGCTGCAGGGTGGTGGACGTGCAGAGCCGGGCCTAGCCGCAAACACGGGAGGTGACAATCACTACGGACGGGGTGGAGGGGGGGGAGGCGAGGATCGTAGGGCGGTTGTGTGCCGCGCGATGGGCGCCTCCGCAGCCTGCCTGGCGCTTTTGTTACATTGGGACAGACACCAAACTCGGGTGCGGCTGGCTGCTATACCGTGCATTAAAGAAATACCTCCAAATGATCAGATCCCCGTCTGCACCACACCTAAGCGGGAGCGCTGTCAGCACGCAGCGGCGGAATGGCTGCCGGGGGCTGCCTCCCTATTCCCGCAAAGCGCCTTTTCTCCAGCCAATCCCTCCCTCCTTCCACCCCCACCAGCAGCACCCTACGCCGCCGCCGGTGCCTTACCGATGTGGCTGTCCTCGATGTGCACGATGAGGTCGGTCAACGTCTCGAAGTGGAGCCCGCAGCCCCGGAACCTGCAGGAATTGGAGAAGAAGGAGGCGGCGGCGATGCCCGTCATGATGGTGCATGTAACGCGGCAGGAGCAGCGGGGGGCGAGGAGGGAGCACAGCACGGAGACACCGGCGGCCAGGCAGCGGCGGCGGCGGCAGCTGGAGCAGCGGCTCGACCCGGAGGGGAGGGGTGGGGAGGAGAGGGGAGGGGAGGAGAGCAGAGCAGGGGAGGGGAGGGGAGGGGTGGGGTGGAAGGGGAGGGGGGTGCCCCGTGACGTCATCACTACCTGTTGCCCACTTCACCCTCCGGTTTGGTTGCATCCAACATGTGCAGAGTCCAGTGCAACATCACCGGTCTCTCCTTAGAATGACCACGATTAAGTTATAATACAACCCAGGTAAAACTCCTCCTCTCCTGAAATGTTCTCCGGGTCACCACTGTATAATCGCATGTGTCCCGGGGGCATATAAGTTCTCATAAGAGTTTGTTGTGCATGATAACTGTATATTAGTACCTGACCATTGTCATGGAACAAGTTTAAAGTAATGACTATCCCCCTACCCACCAACAAAACTGTCACGATTACGTTTTGACGTTTCTGTAACTTATGGCGTTTTTAAAATCTCTTATTTTAAAATTTATCTTATCCTGTATTCAGAAAATATAGGCTACTAAGTGGCATATAATTACAAAAACAGGAACAGACGCAAAAAACGGGATGCAAATGGCCAGAGGAACAGCACGGTTTTTAATGCTAAATGACATGTCTTACAGAAATACAGAAATTAAGTAAATTAAAACTAACGAAGGTGCGCGCATCATCTAGTCGTTCGGATGCTATATCAATTGTTACTTTACAATTAATTGTGGAAATATAAACATCTGTACGGTTTCTAGATATTGCAGTAGCTTTACCTTTAAATGTCAACCGAATAAGAATCCCGTTATTCCCGTCTTCAGCACGCGCAGCCGACTCCCGGTGCCGTGATGCTTCCACTGCCGCGCGCATTCACAAAATGGCGTTCGGCCATTTACGGCTCGTTCTCTCGGGCTTTCGTGGGCGCGCACATATTGAAACGCTGTTGCTCAATGCAGCCACTGGATGGCGCTCCACGCTATTAAACCATCTTGCAGAACTTCATGCACCTAAGCAGTAAATAATGCAGAAGAAGGAACTTAAGTTTAATATCCACATCTAATTGGATGTATGTATGCCTGTTAAATGTGTAAACGATGCTGTTCCTGACAAGATCTCATTTTATTGTTTGTTTCTTGTATCACCACAAGATCACGTACTTCGCTCCGGAATATACGCACCTTGATTTCCTGAAGTAAAGAATGAATGTCATTAGTGAGTCACTGCAAGTGATATGATATTGCCCCTGACAAGGACACATCCATCAAGATAATTTTACATCCCTAGAGGCAACATGACAGAAGGAACACAGCAAAGCACCAGCAGTGATCATGTTAAAAACGAATTTAAAAATGTCTTACCGACTTTACGAAAACAAATATAAAGAATGCTGGCAAAGGGTAATAAACCCTTCTACGCCTGCTTTTTAGGCGCCGTTTTAATAACATAAATTAAAATCTCTGTTATCGGATAGGGTATGGAAATAGGATCACTTTTTAGAAGTACTTCGTGGTTCTTTTTACATGTATGTCTGGTTAGTTGACGGTAAGGAAATATTTGAAGTTAAGGTTACATTATTTAAATACATAATAGAATATTTTGTGTTTAATATTTTTAAAATGTACACATTTAGTCTAAATTAAAAAAATAATGTTTAAAAGTTTAAATTCCATACCAATCACTTGAATAATCTCTCTCTCTCTCTCTCTCTCTCTCTCTCTCTCACACACACACACACACACACACACACACACACACACACACAGACACCGTTCCAAAATGTCATAAAGTGGCTCAGTTAAAATATTGAGTTGAAACCTACTGGGAATCTGTGGGAAAGCGTTACTCATGAGATAGAGGGTGGACTTAAGTGGTTCTGCCAGGAAGCATGGCCAAGTGTAGCCAAACTGGTATGTGAAATTGTTACAGGCCAAGCAGAATTCAGAAACTGCATTCAGCATTTCAAAATTGAATCGAATCTTTTTCTCTGTCCATTTTTCATCTTGCAAAGAGGCAAACATGATTTCAGTCCAAGTTTTGCTTTATGTGAATATCCCAGGATCTCCTCTATTAAAGAGCAGCATTACATGTATATTATATAATATCATAATAATAATTCTATTGGTTAGCACTGTTGTCTCACACCTCTGGGACCCGGGTTTGAATCTCCGCCATGTTTATGGAGTCCGCATGTTCTCCCTGTCGTCAGGGGGTTTCCTCCGGGTACTCTGGTTCCTGGTTCATATGTTAATATGTGTGAATGGGGGGGGGGTGTCCTGGGTTATTCCTGGTTCATATGTTGATATGTGTG